CGGAAGACGGGGACGTCCCAATGTTGATACTCGACACTACATTCAAAAACGCCAATCGCCAACGCGCGCGCGCGGCGGCGGCATGCCGCTGATGGACTTGATGCAATGGGAGCGCTGTTGAACTTCAAAACCTAATGCCAAGAAGCCATTGTAAAAATTCATTCTCTGACCGGAAGGCGCGGGCATTCCCATGTGGATATGCGACGCTGAATGCAAAAATGACAAGTGCCAACGCGCGCGCGCGCGGCGGCGGCATGCCGCTGCTAGATTCTATACAACTGAGCAGAATTTCGCGCGCGCGCGTCGGCGGCATGCCGCTGGTAAGTTGTTTTTTCTTGTTTGGTCATGTTCTTATTATGTGTATGTTTCTTTTGTCTGATTGTTTTTGTTATGCATTTGTTTAGTTGTTTGTTGTTTTGGTGTTTTTCTTTGTCCTTTGATTCTTTGTTTTTGCGTTTCCTTTTTTTCTCCTAGCGGGGCGAAACTTGAACTCCAAAACCCAATAGCGGAAACCCAATGTAATAATTCATTGTCTGATCGGAAGATGGGAACATCCTCGCGTGGATATAGACACCGGATGCAAAAATGCCAATCGTCAACGAGCGCGCGCGCGCGGCGGCGGCATGCCGCTGACAGATTTTGCACAACGGGAGCGATGTTGCACCCCAAAATCCAATGGCGAAAACCCAATGTAAAAAATCATTCTCTGATCAGAAGACGGGGGCGTCCCAATGTTGATATTCGACACCAAATTCAAAAAAAAACGCCAATCGCCAACGCGCGCGCGGCGGCGGCGTGCCGCTGATGGATTTGACGCAATGGGAGCGAGGTTGAACTTCAAAACCTAATGGCAAAAAACCATTGTAAAAATTCTTTCTCTGGTCGGAAGACGGTGACATTCTCATGTGGGCATGCGACGCTGAATGCGCCGCTGCCAATCGCCAACGCGCGCCGCGGCGGCATGCCGCTGACAGGTTTGCCATGCAACGGGAGCCATGTTGAACTTCAAAACCCAATGGCGAAAACCCTATGCACCAAATAATTCTCTGATCGGAAGATGGGGGCATCCCCGTGTGGATATGCGACACTGAATGCACGCGTGCCAATCGCCAGCGCGCGCGCGCGGCGGCGGCATGCCGCTGATATATATATATATATATATATTACAACGGGAGCGAGGTTGAACTCCAAAAACCAATGGCGAAAACCATGTAAAAAATGCATTCTCCGATCGGAAGACGGGGCCAACCCGGCGTGGATATGCGACACTGAATGCACAAATGCCAATCGCCAACGAGCGCGCGCGCGCGTGCGCGGCGGCGGCATACCGCTGATAGATGTTGCACCAGGGGGGCAACGTTGAATCCCTCAAACCAATGGCGATAACTCAATGTAAAAAAAATAATTCTTTGATCGGAAGGCGGGGACATCCCCGTCGGCATTCTCCCTGGTACCGAGGTATCTACAAGTGGCATCGATCGGCATCCATGGTTTCTTCTGGGGGTGCATATAAAATACTGTTATTCGGATGCGAATGAATAGCAGTCGGGGCCCGGGGTGGGGCGGGGCGGGGGGGGGGGGTCATCATTTTTGTTTCCCGACCCTCCTTGGTTGGGTATTCGTTTGGAAGGGGCTGTGGTCTCCACCTTCCTTCCCTCCGCCTCCCTCCTGCCTCCTGCCTGCCTCGTCCTGTCTTGTCTGCGGGGGGCTGCGATCTGCGAAACTGTCGCCACTTTCGAAACCTGCTGGGGGGCCCAGCACAGAGACGCCATGCGCGGACCAAAATTAAACCTCGCCTTCCCGGGGGGGCTGCGATCTGCGAAACTGTTGCCACTTTCGAAGCCTGCTGGGGGTCCCAGCACAGCGACGCCACGCGCGGACCCAAATTTGACCCCGCTTCCCTGGGGGGCTGCGATCTTGGAAGCTGTCGCCACTTTCGCGGCCTGCTGGGGGGCCCAGCACAGTGACGCCACGCGCGGACCCAAATCAGATCTCGCCATCCCTGGGGGCTGCGATCTGCGAAACTGTCGCCACTTTCGAGGCCTGCTGGGGGGCCCAGCACAGTGGCGCCACGCGCGGGCCCAAAGTTGACCTCGCCATCCCTGGGGGGCTGCGATCTGCGAAACGGTCGCCACTTTCGAGGGCTGCTGGTAGGTCCTGCGGGGCGAGGCACCGCGCGGACCTGACCGGGACCTCGCCGTCCCTGGGGGGCTGTGATCTGCGAAACGGTCGCCACTTTCGAAAGCTTCTGGTGGGTCCTGCGGGGCGAGGCACCGCGCGGACCCGAGCGGGGTCTCGCCGTCCCTGGGGGGCTGCGATCTGCGAAACGGTCGCCACTTTCGAAGGCTTCTGGTGGGTCCTGCGGGGTGAAGCACCGCGCGTGCCTGAGCGGGACCGGGCCTTAGTGGGACCTCGCCGCCCCTGGGGGGCTGCGATCTGCGACGTTGTCGCCGCTTTCGAGGGCTGCTGGTGGGTCCTGCGGAGCGAGGCGCCGCGCGGATCCGAGCGGGGCCTCGCCGTCCCTGGGGGGCTGCGATCTGCGAAAGTGGCGCCACTTTCGAGGGTTGCCGGCGGGTCAGCGGAGCGAGGCGCCAAGCAGATCTGAGCGGGGCATCGCAATCCCTGGGGGGCTGCGAGCCTCACGAATGCTGCTTGCCTCGCGTCATCACCTCCGCATAACGTCTCCCAAGCTACTCATGCCCAGAATTTCGCAGGGACTGGGTACGTCGCCAGGGTAATTAACCGGTCCGGTTTCGGACATTAATACTGCCTACTTCCCGAGGGTCTGTCGGGCCTCTCGGGCCTCTGGGGCCCGTCAGGGGCCAGGGGGGGAGGGGGGGGTGGTGAGGAAGGGTGAGGAAGAGGAGGAGGCAGGGGGAGGAGGAGGAGGAGGAGGAGGAGGAGGAGGGTGAGAGGAACGGAGGAGGAGGAAGAGGAGGGCCCCTGCCCTCTTCGCTCTCTCGTTCGGGGGGCGCCCGCCACACGCCCGCCTCCCGCGCCGACGGCGCGACGGCCCTCCGCCCCCCTCCCCGCCGCATCCTCCCCCTTCCACCCTTCCTCCTCCTCGCCCTCCTCCTCTTCCTCCCCCCTCCTCCTCCTCCTCGCCCCCCCC